AATACATAAAAGAAGTTTTAAAAAAATTAAGTACCCTTTCTAGTTATGTCTTCTGGTTCTGAATTTCCTGAACCACCGTCAAAATAGCCACGCAAAAGCACCATAATCCATTTCCCAACACCTCTATCCACAAACATAAGCCAAATTATTCCAAGAAAAAAATGAAAGGACGAATGAGAAAAACAGGTCCTGGAATCATAAAAAAAAATTAAGTAAAAAATGTTTGTGAAATGAAATAGCTAGACCAACGTACATCAAATACTGATTTTGAAAAAACCCAAAACCCACACCAGGAAAAAGAAACAGCCCAAAGAAATCAACTTTACTTTCTTTGAAAATGCAAATGATCACATGAAAAAGAAGAAGAAAGGAGAATACTTGATGTCACTGAGATCTTTGAGTGTCTTGATGGGATGCTGAGCGTTGCAAATGTTGTTGAATGCCTTTGAAAGAGTCATGTCAGTGTTTTCTTTTATCCCCTTGGGTTTATCGGCCAGTTCTTGCCTCTTTTGCAACAAGTAATTAGCTAGTTCCTCATTCTCAGGACACATTACTCGTCTATTTTTCTCCATCTCTTTTTTTCTGGATTTTTGCTCAGTTGTTAAGGCTAAAGGTTTGAGACTTTTTTTTTTAGGTTTTTTGAATTGGGGATTGCGGTGGAGAGAGAGGAGTGGAGATTTGAAATTGACCAGAAAATCGCGCCACCTTATTTTTGGGCTTACATTCAATAGTTTTATGTTCAAACTTGCTCTTCCATGGCCCGGCTTTAAATGTTTTAAAAATACATTTATATTTGTTTGTTTATTTATTTGTATTTTTATAATTAAATATTTTTTACTTAATAAATTTAAGGCATAATTCCAAAAATAGCCCCTAATATTTATTAAAATGATCATTTTAACCCCTATTTTTCATAGCATTTTAACTCTCAGTGTTTTACTTTAGCGGGAAAAATGCCTCTAATGTTTGTTTAAATAATCACTTTGATCTTTATTATTATTTTTTTGAGCATTTTGGCCTCCAATATTTTATTTTAAGGTAAAAAAATCCTTGACTTTGGAGCATTAACCGTTTGTTATCTAATGGTTTTCATTCGTAACGGGACCTCCCCAAAAAATAAAATATTGAAAGTCAAAATGCTTCAAAAAAAAATCAAAGTGACTATTTAATCAAATATTAAGTCATTTTTTATATTATGCCTAAACTTAATGTTCCTACAAAATTAAAGTGGTTATGGATAAACACACTAAAAAATATACTATATAAATCTATGAATGTTGATGGTAGATTTTTTTATTAAGCTAAGATGATTACAAAGTAATATCTACTCTAAATACTTTCAATCGTTTGACAATAAACGCTCAATCATCCAGTTACAGTCGCTGGTGCTCGAACTCGTGACCTCTAGGAACAATAACGATTCCTTTAACTAATGAAGTAAGTTGGTTTGTGAGGTAGATTTAAATATCCAAATCCGAATCTAGATTATAAAATAAAAATTATATTTGTTTCTAAAGGAGTTCAAGCCTTATTCGTCCATTTTTAACACATTCGAGTATTTGACATAAACTTTAAACTTCATCAAATAACGAACAGGTTTTAAATGCTTGTGCAGTGATAATAACAATAATTCCACCTGTTTTATTTACATACTGGAATGGAATATTATAGATTTAGGTTCTTTATGAAGGAACCGACATAACTTAGCCTGCAACAATCTGCTACAAGTTCAGTCAAAGCTACACTAATGAAACCTTCTTAATTACTTCATATCTGAATTTCATAAATTCTCATCGGAAGACACGCAGTGAGTGGTTTGATGTTGTAAAGCCGCCATCAACCATGAGATTGTCTCCACTTATATACCCTGCTTCATCACTTGCTAAGAACAGAACCGCATTTGCTACATGATCCACTGTCAAATCCACCCCACACAAGTTCGCATTTCTCCCACCCCACTTAAGTTCGCATTTCTCCCACCCCACTTAAGTTCGCATTTCTCCCGATGAAAGAACGGAAACCCTCTCGTACGTCCTCGGTTCTTTCGGCCTCGTGCAGGTGAGCGAAAGCCAATTCGGTCGGGATGGCATAAGGGGAAACACAGTTCACACGTACCCCGTATTTGCCTAGCTCAGCTGCAACGTTCTTGGTATGCGTGCTGTCCAATTCCTCCCATGACACTCGAAACACTACCCAGAGAAATTATGGAACCCTTTCCACGAGGGATCATAATCCTAGCAGCATGCTTCATTCCGACGAAAACACCCTTCACATTCACATCCATCACCTTCTCGAACTCGGATAAATCATAGTCACGGATATCGCCAAACGGTGGACCTGATAATCCGGCATTGTTGACCATGATATCGAGCGTACCGAACTTGTCGACTGCAAAGTCTATCGCGCACCGAACTTCCTCCTCCTTTGTCACGTCGCAATGGAAAAAGCAAACGTCCAGGCCATCCCCGAGGGATCGACAGACTTGGAGGCCAAGGCTGTCTTGCACATCAACTATGCAGACTTTGGCACCATGCTTGTGAAATAGAAGAACAATGCCCTCGCCAATGCCAGAAGCTCCACCAGTGACCAATGCCACTTTCCCCACTAATCTGTCAAAGGGAAAATAAGCAGATGCTTAACCAATTAGCAATCATTTGTAAGCCAGTTAACTGAATTGGTAGAGCAATCAAGGTTAAAATAGATAGAAACACATAAATTTTGACTCAAAAGAAACTTAAACTATTTAGTCAAAAGAAACGTTGTCAATTATTTTGTTTTGTTTGCCGTGTTTTACTCGTGGCCATGGTCCATGTATTAAAGCGTGTGATACCAGAATTGAGTGGAAAGTGCAATGTACTGAACACTCGACGACAGTTCCAGCCAGACAAATGTATTGTTCCTTGATAGACGGTTGGATAGACACATGCATAGAATTTGCAAATGAAAGCATCATCCCTTTTATTTATTGGGGTGAAATCCATAAAAAGAAAAGGGTAAACTACGGAAACTGTCCCTTTTATTTATTTGTTTACTGTTGATTTTTTTTATTATTATTATCCAGTCAGTACTAATGGTACGATATTACAATAATATTTTCCAACAATCACGTCTCATTCTTTTGTTAAAAAAAATTATGTGCCACTCTAAAATTAACTATGTTTGTCAAATTTACAAGACAGTTTAATAAACGTTTATCAAGTTCAATGGTTAAATTAACCATATTTATCAAATTTAGAGATAAATTTGACCAAACTTATATTCATGTATCAATTTAACTTAGTTCATGATCGATTTGATGAAAATAATTTAAGGATAGTTTAATCAAAATCATTGAATTAAATGGATGAAAATAATTTAAGGATAGTTTAATCAAAATCATTAAATTAAATGTTGGTTTGTGTTTATTTAGTTATTTTCAATTATAAGAGCAACCTAAACTAGTATTGACTTTGATGCTTGTAAAGGATTTTTATTCATTTAGTTATTTTGCATTTGTAAAGAGAGAATGATGGAGAAAGCCTAAATTTAAAGGATTTAGGGCCCAAATCTATACCATAGGTCATGGGCTATAGAGCTTATGCCTATAATTTTGGTGGGAAACCCCATATTGATATTCATGCATATTTCGTTTGGAAGATTTCCATAGGTAAACTGTGAGAACATAAAATACAAATCTCATTTCGTTGTCGGAATCATTAAAACAAAATTGGATAAACTACATTTAGAGTCATTTTTTTATAATTTGATATTACTATAAGATATTATATGTTTATAATATTTTTAATCATTTTTAATGTACACACTTTGTAAATGCTCCTTGTATTATGATCTTTTAGAGAAAACAATGTTCTCTTTTATTATTGAGACTTCTCATTTTCTTTTTAGATCATTTTTAAAAATAATAGTTACAGTGCCTTGTCCCTTCATCCGTTTCCCTTCTCTCTTTCGTTAAATTAATTTCAGGTAATTTGCTCTTAGATTCATTTTCAACGCAACATTTGTATAGTTACTTAACATGATTAATTCTTTGAACTCGAATCTTCTAAAGAGAACACTCCCTTTTATTACTAAAGTCATTAAATAATATTTTTGACATTGTACAATGTCTTGTCCCTTCCATTGTTTATTTTTCCTCATGTCAAATTAATTTTAGGTATTTTCCCCTTTTTTAATAGTGTGTGGTGGTTACAAGCCTACAAAATAGTATATGGATTGTCAACGTATATACACCGTAGACATAGATGCTTAAATCCATGACTTCTAACCTTATAGGAAGAACAACACTCCATTTAATGACCACTAATATCACTTGAAATGTTTCACATAGTTTACTCTTTTTTAATAAATTTTAAATTTAATCATAATTCTATTTAGGGGGAATCCTAAGAGAAGGAAATGGAGTGCTCTAGTAGGTCAAAAACCTATACCCTAAAAAAATACAAAAGAATACATTGGCTAACAGTCTCCATGTAGTTTACTCTTAGATTCACTATCAACATTACATTTGTATCGTTACTTGTATAATAATCTTTTTTTCTGTCTCCCATTATTCATTGTTAAATATGAAAAATGGCATGTAAAATGCATACCCAAACATTACTTAGAGAAAGAACTTGAGATACATGATTTAATTGTTCTTTCTTCCTTGTACAGTTTAAAACGGCTGGAGCCATTTTCCTTTCAATTTCAAGAGAAAACCCTAATTCCAAGTTTCCGCGCCAATTTATTTACTATAAATTTTTAAATAAAAGAGACACAGCTGGCAGATGGCCGTCTCCGTTTCTCATGAGCCACAATATAAAAATAATAAACCCTCAAAATGTCTTCTGTAACAGAATCCCAGTCAGTCAGTCTCCATCCTCGTCCAGATCTAGGGTTTCCTTGAATCCGCCATTGCAGTCAACTCCATCTCCAAAACCCAACCCTCATTTTACTTTTAAATATAACCCCTTCCATAAAATCTCTCTCCTGAGCTCTACCTTTTGGCCTTTTCCCTCCTAATGTTTCCCCAGTGGCTGAGATCACCGAGCAGGCCAAACCCCACTAAATCTCCCTCCCATTTCTCCTTCTCTTCCTTCAAAGACATTGACGCCATCCTCAGAGAGGAAGAACAGCACCAGCAACAACAACTCTATCCTCGATCCCCCAAAACACCCTCCATTTTCCACCGCGTCAAGCTCTCCACCGCCGTCTTACGCGCCTTCGGCCACCGCCATCCTCCCCCCAACGCCGACCAGCGCGTCGTCGTCTACCTCACCAGCCTACGCGTCGTCCGCAAGACCTTCGAGGACTGCAAGACCGTCCGATCAATCCTTCGGGGACTCCGTGTCCCGATCGACGAACGGGACGTGTCATTGGATCCCAGCTTCCTGGACGAATTGCATGGGGTTATTGGGCGTAAAAGCTTCACCCTGCCGTTGGTTTTCATTGGCGGAAGGTACATCGGTGGGGCCGAGGAAGTCAAACGGTTACATGAGTGTGGCGAACTGAAGAAGCTGATTGGTGGGCTACCGTTGCTAATGGGGTCCGGTGTCTGTGATTTGTGCCAAGGGCTGAGATTTATTCTCTGTCCCAAATGCAACGGTAGCCATAAGATCTACTCCAAGAAATTAGGGTTTCAAAGTTGTGCCGATTGCAACACCAACGGTCTGATTAGGTGCCCGTCTTGCTATCTCTCCGATCACCGTCGAATTAGCTATCCTTTTTAGTAGCTTTAAAATAAACAATCGGATCAAAAACAGAAACACAAATGTAATTTATTTTCCTTTACTGATTTTTATTACCTCATTTGTCTATGAAGGAAATGCATGCATATTTTTCAACATGTGGTATAATATTTTCTTTATCGTCTTTCATTAAAAAAATTAAATTATTTTGCTCTTCCATTAATGTGGTAATTATAATGAAATGAAAAATAAAATAATTAGTGCGGATTTTTCTTAACCATAAACAGATTTATAACAGTAATTAAAGAGGAAAAAATATAAAATGAATTTAATATAATTATTATAAAAATGAATTTAATACAATTATTAGTGTTTAAAATACTAAACTCTAGAGTGAAGATAATTTTATTCAAAAAAATAGTATGAGGAAATTTTTTAATTTGATTTATTATATTTATAATATCATTATTTTTAATGTCTCCTTTGTTAAACTAATGGATTGTTGATATTTTTTTAATCTTTATTTTTAACTATTTTAATTAAAATAGCTTTTTATAAATAGTTTGGGATAATTATAATATATTATATGACTACTTTTTTTTGTTTATTAACAATCTGAAAACACAACTGCTCTATGGTTAAATAAAACGACTTTTTTTTGGATAAATTCTAAATATAATCATAACCCTACCTAAAGGGCTCTATGGGAAGGAAGAGCAATGCTCATAATGGGTCTAGAATCCATGACCTAAGAAAATATTAGAAAATAAATACGGACATCTTGGTCAATCGATAAAATGTGCTTGATCAACATTTCTTTTTTTAAGCATATCATTTAGGAAAAAATGTAATATTAACGTAAAAAAAACTGTAAGATGTGCTTTGAAGAATAAAACTACACTCCCTCAGTCTCACTATATTTATCCTTTTTGAATTTTAAAATTATCTCATTCAAAATATCTTATTAGTAAAGTCAACAAATAACATCAGTTTTTTTTATCTTTACATGTCTCACTTATACACCTATCAAATTAAAAATATCAATTACTTTTTAAAAATAATTTTATTATTTTATATAACTAGACTTGTTATTAATTTATCTTCTAAAATTATATACTTATTAACATGAAATAAAAGTATTGAGTTATATAAAAAACGAGCATGGTATCATTATTTGAGGAAAACAATATCTTTTGTGATATTTTATATTATGCTTACACTGCATAGGTATTAATGAGGTGTGAGAACAAAGAATAATACGATTTCCAGGTTGCCATATGTAAGAGAAGATTGATTAATTATTCAATGTCACGTGGTTTTCCATTGAAATCTCAAATAATCTAGTTGACTTGTGAACGCCTGATACAGTGCGTTTCAGGCTGGCTCTTGCTGGTACACGTTAACACTAATTACAAGTTTAACACCATATAATTAGATATTATAGAGACGGTTAGTTTTGTAGATTTGGTATCTCATCTGTTATAATTAGAGGGAAGATGGATATAAGTTTATTGGATAACGAGTAGATGCCGGCGTAAAAAGTTACACCCGCCATGAGTAAAGGGTAGGTGATGAGTTTTAGATCATACCCGCTCCACATCCACCCGTCCCATTCGTTCGCCCACTAATTACCCACCATATAAATTTTAAACAATTATAAATTTAGGTATAATTTTAGAAACTATTTTATAAATCTTAAGATTTTATAGTATATGTAATTTAACAAAATATTAAGATATAAACTCAATTAATCATTGGTTTATTTTATTATGCCTCTTAATGGATGTGTATGTTTTATGTTTTGTTGTTTATATAATCTATGAGGTTTTTATCAGGTAGGTATGGACGGATACAAATGGATACAAAATGGGTGATAAGTATCTAGTTAGGTAATGGATGTGAGAGTGGATTTGAGAATATGTTCATGTGAACGAATGTGAATTTAAAATTTTACCTGTTGTGGGTGGTGAGTAAGTGGTGGGTACAAAAATATTAGGTGAATATGAGAATGGGTGCAGGAGTATCTGCACACCCGTCCCTTTATCATCCTACATATAATATCAAATTAATATAAATCACGATACCATAAAAATAAATATGAAAATAATATGAATATATTTTTTTTAAATTAATAAACATTATTAACAAAGTTAAAGATATATAATTATAGCATGATAGTACGAACTAACTTATCTCAATTGTTAAATAAATCGTTTTTGTTCTTAGAGGGCATGGTTTGAGCACCAGTGATTATAAGGTGATTAAGTGTTATTGTCAAATGGTTGAGAGCATTTAGAACCAGTGGTGGAGCCATAGTTGGTCAGGGTGAGCATGAATTTTCTTTTATTAATTACTTATTTTATTGATGGTATCCACCTTGAAATCCGAGTTTTTTTCGATTAGTTAGTTATTTTATGGACGGTGCTCACCCTGAAATTTTATTTGTACCCGTCCATTTAAAAATTTTATATTGTTAACATATGTATGCTCACACTGAAAAAATATTTATGGATCCATTGCTATTCGGAACAAATATTAATTTCTGCAAATTGGCGAATATTTATGGACCCGTTACTGTCAACATTAAAAAAACAATCAAAAGGAATAGTTTCTGCAAAGTGTTCTTTCGCAGATGGTGTAAGCCAATGAGATTGGGGATATCAGGTGTGGGTGGTATTTTGGGAAACACATTTGGTGAGTAAGTTTTGGGGTTTTCGGTACATTTGGGTATCTGCTTGAGTGTTGCGGTTGAACTTCATGCTATGAGAATTGGGTTATGGATCGCATGGGAATATGGTGATAGAGCGATTGAATGTAAGGTAGATGCTCGTGTGGTATTACAGCTGACAGATGTTCCTGACGTTTATTCACTCTTTGATCAACGATATCCAGAGTTGGAAAGCATACGATTGGAAAATCAATTTTCAACATACTTATCGTGAAGGGAATTTTTGTACTGATGCTCTCCCCAAAATGTGATACAATACAGAAGAGGAGCTTGTGATTTTTGACTCACCGCCGACAGAGATCTTTTACTTTTTAGACTTTGATTCCAGGGGTGTTTCCTTCCCTAGAGGTTTTGTAGTAAGTTAACTCCTAGATTTACCGTTGTTATTTTGGAGTAAAAATTACAGAACTCGTCAAGTTTCTTTTATATTTGTATAATTTTTACTCATTAAATCTAAAAACATTAAATTTTAATTATATACATTATCGATTTATTAGAGTTCGATCACTTACGAGATTGATTGTTACATTTTGGTAGTTGAGTCGTTAATATCTGTTAGTTTGATTGCATGACATGCTAGTCAAAAGGGGTTAATTGACCTTTGATCTTTACATACAAAACTATTTTGAGTTGGACTTTACATGAAATATCATTTTGATCACTAAATTTTAGATAAAATACTAATTTAATCCCTTAATTTGATTAAAATCTCACATCACCGGTCGTAACTAACCACCGTTGTTGTCGACTACTATCTAGAGGTGGGTATACGGGTTACCCGCCCGTTTAGCCCGCGGGTTTTGATGGTGCGGGCTTAAACGGAGCGGTTTAAAAAGTCCGTATTCATAAACGGTTTTGAATTTTAAGGCCTGCGGGCTAAACGGGCTTACCCGCGGCCCGTTTAATAAAAATAATTTTAAATGCTTTAAATGCAATAAAAATAATGTTTTAAATTACTACACCTTTAAAAATGATCGAGCAACTTGAAAAGGAAGGTAGCACCGTCAAAATAATAAATAATATTTAAATTTTATTCTAAATAGCCGGAAATAATTATAAAATAATATTTTTTTAATTTTTTAATCATTAATATATATATATATATATATAATGATATAATTACTTAAACTCAAATTAAAAAAACAATATTCACTTATATCACCAAATTGAAAAACAAATAAAACAATAACCACATTATACTTTTATAAAATACGATTATTCAAGGCAATAATAAGACTAAAATACTATATAATTTTTTAATTTTTATTTTTTAAAATGAAGAATAATTTGATACGTTAATGATGTATATTTAAATGAAAAAAATATCAAGCAACGGTAGAATTATGACAAACGCCCTAATAAATTTAAGAACTACAATAGTTATAAGTAACATCAAATTTATAGGTAATTTATTTTCTTTTTCTATAAAATTCTTTAAGTTTATTTTCTCTAAAATTTTATAAATTTTAAATTAAGCGGGCTTTAGCGGGTTTCGCGGGTAGCCCGCGGTTATACCTATTAAACCCGCGAGTTTAACGGTCCGGGCTAAAAAACCGCAATTTAAACGATCTTCAATTTTTGAGGTCCGAAGCCCGCACGAGTCATGGGTTAAATGGGTAGCCCGCGGACCTTAGCCCATATACCCAGCTCTACTACTATCGTTCGGCATCGACTGACATCACTGTTGTCACCATCTTTATTATTTATTCATTATTTTTATTTTTTTCCCATTCGAATGCTTGCTTAGAACATCGGCAGATGAACACCATCAAGAGCATGTGCTTTCCCTCCACACACAGTAACCCCATAAATCTATCAAATTCATGTGGTTAAGCTTCCCAATGGTGTTCACTTGTGCTAGGAATTCAGCTTCCCCATCATTAGCATCAATGAGTCGCTTGATAGCAGCAATCCGATCATCAAAGAGTTTTCCTTTGTGCATAATTCCCCATGCACCTCTTCCAATTTCTTTCTTGAAACCATTTGCTGCCTGATCAAGCTCAGCATAGGTGAATTTTCGGACGTTTGTTACGGCGACTGTTGGGCGTGAATCTTATCAATTCTAATAAAAAAATACCAGGCTACACTGATAATGAAAAAATAAATAAATTAAAATAATAATAATAATGGTGACAATAGCGACGAAGATCGATGGTACCCAATGGTGATCTGCGGCAATGGTGATAAGTGACGATGGGAGAATTTAATCAAATACATGGGTCAAATTGTTATTATATCTAAAGTTTAGTAGTTAAAATGGTATTTCATCTAAAATTCAAAGGTCAAATTAAAAATTAACTCATTTTATCTAATGTATCACATCATTAAACTAACCGATAGTCACTTATATTGTCAATTTATTAACTTTTGGTCATTTCATCGTAGATAGTTACAATTTGATCAGTGAGGATATAAGTAAATAAAAATGACGAATTCGGTAGTTTACCTAATTTTGGACAATCCATGCAGAGCCTTTTGTCAGACCTCAAAAGCCAAAAACACAAATGATTCCGGATTATACAACATGATTACATATAAAGGGAAGGATTGAAAATTGCAGATCCCAATAACTCCTATTCTCCATTGTGGACGGGGAATCAATCCAACCCCACACCAACATCGAATGGATGGTATATATTTTTTTTAAAATTTATTAATAATCTTTTTTATTTTTAAAATTCAATCTTTAATTTTAAATATATGTATGTATTTTTAGAAAAGGTTTCGCATCCTCCACCGTAAAATATACCACCTTTAATCATATATACACATACCTCCAGGCTCCATCTCTAACACTAATGTGAGTCTCGATAAAAGAAAAACCCAGACCAATGATAGTGGAGTGGTGGAGCAACACCATAGTTAATGTACAGTCTCCCCCACACAACCATTTAGGAACCCAGAATTATTGAAAAAGAAGAAAATGGAAGTGGAGGTTTGATCATATCGTAATCTAAAATTGGGCCGGCCCATTTTCTGTGTTGAAAGCAAGCGTAATTCACAAGGTGTGTGACCAACAATATAATGCTCTGATTACTTGTGCTAAAAGTGGGGTTTCGACTTTGGAGAAAACGCCACGCCACGAGTGGGGGTCTTCCCTTCCCAACCAATTCTTTATCATCACCTTTCCCCACCACTCCTATTCTGTCAAATTATTTGGACTCATTTTCTTACCCTTCCTTTTCAACAAAAACAAAACCCTATTTTCTTTGTTTATAAAAAAAATAATCAAACTTTTACCAATAAGTCACGTAATAAAATTATTTTGAGTATTTATTTTTTTTTTGAAGTGAAAAGTTTAGAAAATAATTTACGAAAAATCATACCGTATGTCATTTTTTCAGAAAACACAAAGAAAATTCTGTTGACCAGAAAAATGTTTGGTTATATTAGGGTATGAATATCTTTAATTTTATTTATTTAGTTTGGTTAAGATTATTTCCTAAAAAAAGGGGCCATCAATCTCTAATGTGAAAGCTTGTTGGTTTCAATCAAACCAAAGTATCATCCTTTTATCTCTCTTATGAACTATCATTTCACGCCCGCCCATAAATATTTATAATGGTGCCCCCATCTACAATTATTTCTAGCCCCCACCTCCATAATACATGCATACAAAACAAATACAAAGTCTTTTGTCTTTTTTTTATCGTTTAGTAGTATTTCATTAGGTTGTTTTAAAATTGATGGAAATATTTTTTTTTCTGTCATTTCTAAAAACTATGTGTGCAATCTAATAACTTTATTATAATTATAAGTTTAGAGAAAAAATGTATAAGTAAAGTTTTGTATACGTTAAACACAAATAAGATTAAACCCACATAAGATATTTACTTTTGAAGAGAATTTGGTCTAATATTATTAGAAGAGATAAATAAGTTTTTTTAGATTAAAACGGGTCATGTTAAAAACACTTTCTAAACCTATAAAGGGGAAAAGAGTGCCCGAAGTTCATTAACTTAAAATCGCATTATTAACAACAACAGTAGATAAACATAAAGGATAATCATGCGTAATAGAAATTGTCGCGGAGCAACTAGACGTGAAGTTGGCCAACATATACGCAGCCCCATTTGCATCGCGGCGAATGGATCGGAGGATACATTCCGACTGTGATGTGGTGCGTCTCGGCCAATATGAACCGGAGAACCGACAGATCTGAATGATGTTGGTGGAGTTGATTAAAGACAGAAGAAGCATCACTCGAGAATATCCTAATTCCCCCACCATTTGCAAATCAAAGCAAATAGCATGCGCTTCGACACAACTACCCAACTAACACAAAACCATCTGAATCACGTAGCAAATCCCCAACCACCTGTTGTCGGTCATCAAGCGGACAAGCACCATCGACATTCAACTTTACAAAACTCGGAGGAGGCTTTGATCAGTTGTCATTGTGATCGTACGAGCGTGTACGGGAGCAAGCACATCTAGGTAGGGTGTTCCACTCTCAAATGCAGTCTGCATGGCCTTGCATGAAGAAACAATATGCCATCCCGAGAGCAACCGATGTTCGTGTACAAAAATATTCCGATGATACCAAATTTCGGACAGAATCAACACATTTAAAGTGAAAAAATCGATTCTCCAATAGGGCATGTAACGATGCTAACCAAAAGCCACATGATTCAAAAGTACCTGATGTCACAAAGGAAGGGAGGTCAACGATGGAGAATAAAGGTCAGACCTCCGAACAACCTCGAAGCGAATGCAAAACAGTTTCCTTCGCCGCTCCACATAAATTGCATCGAGCATCAGCAATCCCAACGAGGAAAAAAGGACGACTAACAGGTAAGGCTTCATGAGCGGCGCGCCAACCAAATAATCTCACTCGCGGTAGTGTAGGTAAATACGAGATGGCCTGCCAAAGTCGCGAGGGATGGAGCATAGAACGGCTGCGATGGGAAAACCAGGAATAACCAGATTTGACCGAATAAGTACCGGAGAAATGGCCTGCCCAAATCAACATATCAGACCGAACAAGATCTGAAAAAGGCTACTATAAAATTGTCACACATTTGACCGAGTTGTTGAAAAAGGACAAGGTGAGAGAGTGGGATTTGAAGTGCCAAGAAGCCTTTGAGGCGATTAAAAAGCTATGGTGGGCGAGTCAGTGTTGGTATTGCCATATTACACCAAACTGTTTTAGATTTACACTAATGCATCAGACGTGGCCATTAGCATTCAGTTCATGAGAAGGAGATGACTGTAATAGTGTACTGTTTGCGCATATGATGACACTATGTTTTGAGATCAAGATTTGTTGTGTTTACAGATAATGTTGCAAACAATTATTTTCTAACCTATAAAATTTGGTTTAATATTATCAGAAGAGAAAAATTATTTTAGGATCTTTTAGTTTTAATTTTATTTTATGTATATAATAATTCTCTTAATTTTTTTTGAAGTTTTATACTGTTAGTTAATTTTTTTTATAATTGATTCTTTTAAAATTCAATTTCAAGATTCTTAGTTAGAGATAACAAGTCTATGAGATTTATCTTCCTTTATACTACATGATTAGTTATTATTATAATGAATAATTGATACTTTGATCAAAATAAATTTAGATAGATGTATACATAATGAGATTAAAATCAAAATCAATTTAGAAAGAATTTATATATAATTTACATGTGATAAGACCTGAAATTTAATATCAGAATTTAATTAATTAATTAATTTTTATTCTTGAATAGTATATTTGATATATTGTTAATATTAATTTTATGTACAATTAATGTACGAAATATAAGAAAAAAATTATTGATATTTCTTATAACATGGGGACGTTGGTGTTATTAGCAGGAACTAGACTACTAGGTACTTCACAAACATAAAGTAAAGCATTATTTTCTCTGTAGCATACTATTAACAAAGTTAGAGCCTATTTAAATGGAAATTTGACAATAGCAAAGGGCAGTGAAGTTACAGCCTTGAAGAAACAGAGAGTTGGAGAGAGTATGTTGTGAAGCGATGAGGGGTCAGGAGCCACGTTCCACATCTTCCTGTGCAGCCTGCAGGCTCTTGAAAAGGAGGTGCATCCCCAACTGTATCTTCGCACCCTATTTCCGACCCGATGAGCCGAAGAAATTCGCCAAAGTCCACAAGGTGTTCGGTGCTAGCAATGTGAGCAAGATCCTGATCGAAGTGCCCAAAGAGCAGCGCGAGGAAACAGTGAATTCGCTTGCGTATGAGGCCGAAGCAAGGCTCAGGGACCCGGTGTATGGTTGTATTGGGGCCATAGCTTTGTTGCAGAGGAAGATGATCCAGCTCCAACATGATTTGGCCCTTGCTCGAGCATGTTTGGCTCGGTACGTCACAACTCCATCCTCGATCGGTGGTACCGATGATTGGGTTATCGCGGAAGCTCTCGGTGATTTCCCGGCTGGTTGCGGAAGATCTATAGACAGTTTTTGCCAAAATATTTCGTATGAATTGAATGAGGAAGCACATATGTATGATTTTAGCCAAATTCCATATGTATAAAGATTGCTCTCCTGTTGATTGGTAGGGTTTGAATCTATTACCTAGGCCCCAAGATCAAGTTTGAATTAATATCAGAAATCAAAAGGGTTTGTGTCCGCAGCTGAAAGCTAATTCTGATCATATTTGTGAAAAAGTAAGGCAAAAATTGTAGGGCAGAGTGGTGGCCTCAGTTGGGATAACTCTGCTGCCCAAGCAAAGAAGCATCATCTCAAGCTTTTGGCCTAATTCTTCCATGCATGAACTATTACTCATTTACTCATAAGTCATGATATCTCTTTCCACCTTCCGCTATCACCAACAACAGATTCAGAAATATTTTTAAGAATAAACATATATATATTTTAACAATATAAATTTTTACTAAATAGATACAAATAAATTTCAAGATAAACATAATAAAAAAATATTTAAAAAAAAACTAAGTTTTAAGATGAGAATGTATCTACCGTCACCTAAGCATGACTGTCACTCCGTGCTCTCTATCACTGGTAGATCGTCCAAATGTTTTCTTAACAGCCAAACACTTTTACGCAAAGTAGTGGGTATAGTACCCAATCATGAAATGACTGTTTTTCTTTTACAACATGTATCAGTATTGACATCTTAGATTAGATTTAGTCCGTCACATACATACTTCTTTATCCATTTGAATGTTGAATTTCATTAACCTCATCACCTTTATTCTCATCTCTCAGATGAAGCATGATAGCAAAATACCGATGGCTTTAATGCACGGTGTTCCTTCCGCGAGGAGTAGACTCGAGAAAATTAGCCCTTTTTTTTCTTCTTTCAATTGAGTGGTGTGTAGAAATTGATGTTTCAATATTGTCCGTATATAATTGTAATCAAACCAACGTGTTTTATCCATCTTTCACAAGATAGTGCCATACTGCTAATTTTTCCACATTAAACCGTCGTCCAAAAAAACACACGCCCAAGAAAATAAAAATAAAAATGAAGGGTTTGATAAGATATGATTTCATTAGAACAAGTAGACAATACAAGAGATGTACCGCAACAACTAATTTATGTACAAGAAATGTTTACACACCCACCAAGTTTCAGTTGATGGAAGCACCCCAGTTACTTGAAAACAAGAGAAGACATGATCACCCAGATCCTCAGATTCAGCTTCTATTCTCAGATTTGCACTTCTTTCCTGCATTCAATGCATGCCAACAATTGCCAAGTTACACAACAAAAATGCTCATCACACGTCACCACGCAAACAAAAACCAAGCTCCAGCTTCATAGAAACATGGAATTCATTTGATAAACTAACCGGGTAATGATACAACATTATTATTATAGATTATAGAATCAGAAAAGGTTTGATGGGTTTGGTTTTTTCTTCAAGGTGATGCTAATGGCAGCAAATCGCGGCAAATGTTAGTGAGAATCTGGGGACGAAAAATTACGATAGAAGTTGTGAAAGATTCCAAAGAACCAGCGAGCACATAAATCATCAAGCTTTACCGCTAATTACCGCCATTAACATCAACTCAAGCCATTTAAAAAAAATCATCAAAACTCTAACTTTTCCTACATGAAAGAGAGGCAAATTAAGCAAAATTTAAACTTGGTTTATAGTAAATGAAGCAAATCTGGAAGACCTGAGGGAGTGAAATGCTGCTTTTGGCGCTTTAATTTCTCCATCTCCAGATGAGCATCCACGAGCATGTTCATTCTTTGGAACTCCAGATCTTTAGTGAACTCAATTCTCTGTTTCTCTAGGTCCATCATTTGTTGTTGCTTCGAGCTCTCGATCCTCTCGTAGATCTCTCCGAACTTCAAAATGGCTCTCGCTAACTCCCTACAAGCAACTCCGTCGGACAACCCAACATCCCCCACCCGCTGTTTTTTCCTCACCTCGTCATCAGCATCAGAGGAGCTCTCCGTTGACTTTACACCCAGAGACAAAGATTTCGATTTGGGTTTGATCGTGAAAGTAGAGCAAGTAAGCTTTTTATTGGCGGAGGCGTCGCCGCCGATGAGGACCTCGATGCGGTTAAAAAAGGCCCATTTCGAAGGCGGCGGCTTGGCTCTTTCCTGCTTGTATTTTCTCTTCAACGTGTCCATCCGGTTCTTGCACTGGACGTCGGTTTTCTTCGGCTTAACGCCGTCTCGACCTGAGTTAACGGCGTCAGCGACTTCTCCCCAGTCCTTTTGACGGAGGTTACCTCTGTTAAGCCTTACATAGCGGTCACCCCACGCCTCGATAAGGGTAGACGTGGCTCCGTCGCTCCAACAGTCTTCGCGACCGCCGCCACCGGAGGAGTGGGTGTTGCGGTCATGATTAGAGGCACCGATGTTCATGGAGAGAAGCAGCTAACGTGCGCCGGGGAAAGGGAGGGTGGATAAGGTGAAATGGAAAATGAAGAAGGAATTGGGGGAGAAGCAGAGGATTGGCCGTGCATTTTTACTTTTTTGGGTGACCGGCGGTGATTTTAGCGATCCCGTAGTGGGGATGGAGTTGGGATGGATTGTGGACTATTATATCAATTATAGGTCCGTGCATTATCCAATTGCATTCCTCTGCTCTTTATTTCCACTTTCAACATCAGTACGTTGGTGCATTTTCCGTCAACCATCTTTAGATCAGAGGGAAAACTGAAAAAAATGGAGACAAAATTAATAAGGTAAAATTAAACAAAAGGTTATTTTATTTAGGATAAATCATTTATTTAATCAACCACTTATTATTTTATTTCTAATTCAGTTGTCTATAATTAAACATTACGTTTTAAATTTCACGGCATTTTTTCTTTAATGGTCATAATTTTATTAAAGAAGAAAAAATCAAAAAATTTGCAAATGTACCGATTTGTTTTTTGTGATTTACTTCTTGATGACTGTGTCTAACCTATAATTTAATTTAATGGTGTAAATAAGACGAGACAGATCGTGAGTTACTCGAAATTAATTCGGTCAAGTCTTGATAAATACTACGATCTAATTGACTCAACTCGAGTTCTTAACGAGCCAAAAAAAGCTACGTAATACTCGTATCGAAAAGTTCATAAGCAACTTGAAAATATAATATATTAAGATTTTGTTTTTTTTTTAAAATAAATTATTAATAATATTAACATTTATGTGTTGATTTAAAAAAAGTTTTCATATATTTAAGGTTCAGATCCGAGTTTGAGGCTTTAATCAAGTTAAATTTAATATATTTTTTTTATTTTGAGCCTTTTAGAGCAACTCACGAGCTTCAATTTAAATTTTCGAGTTCGAGTCAAGTTGAAAAATTTAAGCTCATAAATTTTCGAGTCGAATTTCATTTCAAAGTTTTTGAGTCAAATCGAGCTCATCAATACTTGAGTTCAACTTGGTTCGTTTACACCCCTAATTTCATTAGTTACTAAGTTTTCTTTTGTGAAGGTTGGTTTCGTCTTTAGATGAACAGTTTTGGGTTCAGTTTGAGTGTGCTCCTATTGACTAGATGATTTTTTTAATAATTTAGATGATTATAAGATAATATTTATTTGTAAATTTTATTTGGTAATTAATAATATATATACTCTAACAGTTCAAATATATGATCTCAAGAGAGAATAACATTTTTTTAATTACTAAAATCACATAACAAAATTTATCAATTTTTAATTACTAAAATCACATAAAGAAATTAATATTGATAATTTTTTTTAGATGAATATGTACCTTTCATTCCAAAACTCAAAAAATACGAACTACATCAATTCACAAACAAAACAGAACCCCCACCCAAAGAATCAACAAATAAATCAAATAGGCAAAAAACTACACCTTTAAACCCCATGCTTGGCACAGAGCACAATTAACTAAACCTCCACCCTTTAACTTCACCCGTTCCCCGCGCAACAAAACCAGGTCCTTAATCCGCTTGACAACCTCCACCACAGTGGCAGCCGTTCCACGAGAGTACCTACAGTTTCGCTCTTTTCAAATACAAGCAATGTAACAATTCTAAGCTAACCTTAGCACCAACGACCCCAAGGATCTACCCTTGAAAGACAAGCATGCCCAAAGAAACTCATGGTCCCAACTCATCATCCCCTGCACTTGACAAAGACGAAGAATACCAAACAAAACAGCTTTAGAAAAATTGCACTCAAAAAATAAATGACTCCTAGTCTTCCGCTCCACCAAGCACAAATCACAAGTACCATTAGGGTTCATTCCAAACGACATGAGCCTATCCTTGGTAGGCAATTTATCAAGAATGACCATCCAAGCAATAACAGAACACTTAAGAATGTGACCCGAGTTCCAAACTAGCCTTTCCCACATCATCTTGTCCTCCTTCACTCATAACTCATTCCAAATCCCACGAGTCGAAGAGAACAATGTACCTAACAGGCCATGCATACGAGCAATTCTTGGCCGAACCTTCAGCAAACCCCTTCAAGCCCAACTACAATTCTGCGGACAAGTCAAATCCCAAAAGAGTTTGCTTTGATGATGTAGGCATGCACCCAAGCAACTCAAATGGAACCATTCTTTAACAAAAGTTTCCTAATCAACCCAATCATACAAGCATAGTTTCATACTTTGAGATCCCTAAGGCCGAGACCCCCTTCAAACTTAGGGGAACAAACCTGAACCCATTTAACCCTCGCCCGCTGATCGTTTTATCCTCCCCTTTCCAAAAGAAAAGTGAACAAAGCTGATTGATTCTCTTTAAAACCGCCTCAGGAAGAAAAACTTGACTTCCCAAAAAAAATTCAATATTGTAAACAACAACTCGGATAAGATGCAATATACCCGCATAAGAAACCATCCTAGCCTGCTAACTTAGCCTCAATATTCTCAACCAGCGGAGCACAGTCCTTAACATAAAGCCTCTTAGAAACAAGAGGAATGCCAAGATACCGAACTGGGAGCTTACCCCGCTGTATACCAGTAACCTCCGAAACCATCTAGAGCACCCCATCATTCATTCCTGAAGAAAAGATCACTGATTTTGCCGCATTCATCCGCAAACCAGAGAATTATGATATTATTCATTAATTAAATAAAATAAATATTAATACGAGTATCCATAAAAATAAATATGAAATGTTATTTAATTAATACAAAATTCTCATTCTATGATGGTTAGCAGCATACTAATTCTATCATTTTAAGGGGAAACCAATGAAGGGTGAGAGAATTAAAGGGTAAACAAAGTTAAAAATACGAACATTAAAGATCCGAAAATATGATTAGTGTGAAGTTTTTTTGGTACACGTTCGGTCAATTCCAATAACGGAAAGAAGATAATACTACAAATTACATACAAATGCATGAAATCCTCAGCTTACTCGCTACGATTATCCAAAAAAAATGCCTGTTCTAACCAAAAAGGGAAGAAAGAATATTATACACCTAAAGCACAGAAATGTCATTATTCCAGCTTCGTTCTTCACCCATCAGAATTCAGAAGAATGGAAGCGAAATGGAAAAAAAATGAAGACCTCGAAATTACACCTAAAATGCTACGTGGATCTACTGGCTAGTAAAATTTTGCAATCAAATCTGTTACGACTTAAAAGCTGCCCATTGGTGGCATGCCAAAAGGTGGCATTGGAGGCATTCCCATTCCTGTGTCAAACTAACATTCAAAAGATCCTTCATTAACAAGTACAGCCTCACATTCCTTGTTCATTTTAGAAAGCAAAAACAAGTAGCAAACTAACATTCAAAAGAAGCCAATAAGAGTCCAGTCAAACAATATTCTATTGCACACGTATTCCATAAAAAACACTACCAGAAACAACTAGGTTTTTGATCAGCCAGAGCCTAATCTAACAATAAAAGAAAAAATGTTGAGCACTACCAATCCAATATGAGCTTTATGACCATATAAAATAGACATATTGAATATATAATCCTCTAATCAGTAACAAAAATGCTGAACAATCACAAGCAATGATGAAGCAATTCAAGTGATCTGGTAAAAGTAAATATCTGCTGCTAGTAATGGTAAGTGGTAACTGACCTTTCAGAGCCAGGATTCTAGAATCCAGATTCATAAGAGCAGAGTCAGCTGTAATAGGTCGTCTCAACGGCTGCATCGGCATGTTCATGTCAATGATCACAACACTGTTTTGCGGTGCAGTTTCTCTCACACAAATATACTTGTCAGATTCCATAGTTACGTTCGTAAATGTAATGAACTGAGGATTAATGCCGATGCTTGGCATCTGCAAAGACGAAGCCGTTCATATCACTCAAAATTTTAACCATTTCGAAAGCATATAAATGAAGTTTAAAACAAATATAAGCAGATGTTGGCATTGATTAGATCCAATAAGGTTATGAAGTATTAGATTAAGCTTAATAACAAATTACAAATCATACTTCAGCCGAAATTTCAATAAAAATGAATGAATCGAAAAGTTGACTGACATGAACCAGGCTGAAATGAAAAGACTTACAGTTAAGACCTCCTTCATGGCGATGGTTCGCAGCAGCCATGGTGGCTCAGATCGACGGAAGCGAATCAGGAACAGATCTACGGCCAAGATAGAATCTTTCAATTGCAAGTCAAAACGGAACACCGAGAACGAGGCGCGAAAATGTGAAAATCTCTGCTAAGGAATCTAAAGCAGAGATAAAAAAGAGTAGAAAATCTATAGAGAATAAAAAAAAATGAAGATGTAATCTAGGGACGAAGTGAAGAGAAAGAGCAGCAGAGACCGATCCAATCTAGGGCACCGGTGAAGATACGAAAGGGAAGAAGGAACAAAGTATTTTCATAACAAGAATATTCGAACAAAAAATCATAACAATAATAGGCAAAACGCCCAAATACTGCGCATGGGAATCTTTAATTCCCAAGACGATGTCATCAGCTTATTATTTTCCAATAGGATGATTGTTATAGAAAACATACAAAGTTCGACGTTTTCAGGGAGTTCTCATCGTCTTCAATTTGGATATCTCGACGTCTTCAACAAATGTGCATTTGGAGCTCTCGGTGTCTTTGTGTCTTCAACGTGGGGACTAGCTTTGTTATGTTTGGTAGCAGGAAGTTTGCACCAAAATAAGGAATTCATGGGAAGAATAATGCACGTGGGGATCAGCTTTGTTATGTTTGGTAGCATGATGTTTGCAGGAAAATAAGGAAATCATGGGAAGAATAATACACGTGGGGACGAGAATGAGATGTAAAACAAACCAAACTTTGATAAAGTGAATCAATAATTGATTATAAGGGCATAAAATAATACTTATCTGATTTAAAACAAATCAAAAGCAAAAAAATATGATTAAAAACAAAGTAAAAGTAAAATAAAGGGTATTGAATTACATGCATAAATTACGTTTACAAAAGGAAATTAATAATGCATGAGTACGGATCAAAAGCAATTATCAATCAATGGAGACATTTGTGAAGCAACAATGCATCGAATATGATATATAAAATGGAGGATAACTGAGTTCAGGGAGAATTTAGAAAAGAAGATAAGAGAAGCTTGCATGTTCGAGAGTTATTTTGGGAAAAAAGAGAAAAAAATTCAAATAAAGGAAGAAATAAATCGAATATTTGGTAAGTTTTATGTAATTTTTATAATTGTTACATGATTATAATTTTAAATAGAAATTAATTAGATTGATTTTTTTTATTTTAAAGAATGAACTATATTTTTAGATTTTGTTATTGAGTAATATAAAATATGAGACTAGTTATTATGATGTAATAGATTTAATAGATTTTAAAGAATATTTTACGTGTAGAGAAAATGAGCAACAATTTTTTCACGATTGTCCATTACAATGGACATATGATGGAAAATGAGGCCGGAGTTATTTTTCAGTCTGGAGCACCTATAAATATGATGTTTAAAAGAGACATCACATTTGTGGAGATGAAGGAGAGGATAGAAAGAAAAATCCGTGCTAAAGTTGATGGTTTGAAGTACAGATTTATTGTATGTCCCAATCCGGTCAGGTATGCTGCAGTACCACTTGAAGACGATGATGATATTATAAGTATGGTTGAATTTCATGACTCAACAAATATTCCAATTATTGAGTTATTTGTTGAGTTGTGTAATATATCTAATGTGCCTGGGTCATCAAGAAATGCGGTTGAAACTTCATCTCAAATGGGTTTTGAGAGTCATTTCAGCAGTTATGTGGAGATGTTGGAAAGTAAAAATGAAGTAGGTGGAACATCTGGAGCCGCAGAGTATGACGCTGAAAACCGCTGGGAAGAAATACTTGAAGATTCCAGTGAAGATGAGGAAAATGAGGAACCTCCTTTGGCTGAGGATGACGCCATGTTCGATGGTGATGAAGTTGATATCAATATTGTTGAATATTCGTCGTATCAACCTACCCCTCACATGCAGGAGATTGATTATGAAGCAATGAGGGCACCTGAATTCCCGGATATGCCACATTTAACTTCAGGCTACATGAGTGAATCGTCCGATAACTCTGGTGAATTATCAGTTGGGAACCAATACAGAGGAAAAAAAGAAGCTACAATAGCGATTAAAGAGTATTGCATAAGAGGCCATGTAGATTTCAAGGTTGTAGATTCCAACCAGAAAACTTTGTATGCGAAGTGTGTTAAATATGGGCCTGAGTGTAAGTGGCTGATCAGAGTGTCAGAAATACAGAGGCAAGATATTTGGGTCATCGTAAGGTACAATGGTCCACACACATGTTTGCAAAACTCTATCGAACAAGACCACCGACTACTGGATTCCGATGTAATTTGTCAATATATGAAGGTTTTGGTTGAACAAAATCCAAGGATCTCTTGTTCGGTGTTGGCTGCATCTATTCGAGACCAGTTCGGATACAATGTAAAATACAAACCCGTTTGACATGCGAAGGAGAAGGCAAGGAGGTTAATATATGGTGATTGGGATACATCATACAATGAGTTACCTAATTTGTTACGAGCTATGAAATAATTCATTCCTGGAACTATCGTGAAATCTCAGACCATGCATGCATACAACGAGAATGTCAACTTGTTCAAGGGAAGAAAATATTCCATAGACTCTTTTGGGCATTCAAGTCATGCATAGAAGGTTTTCCATTTTGCAAACGTATGGTCCAAGTAAATGGTACGTGGTTATACGGTCAATACAAACATATATTATTGATAGCAGTTGCGCAGGATGGTCAACGAAATATATTCCCAATTGCATTCGCCATCGTTGAAGGAGAGACAACATAGGCTTGGGACTTTTTTCTGACTAATCTACGTAAGTATGTCGTCCAAGAAGAAGGAGTTTCCTTGATATTCGATCGAGGATCAGGCATTTTGGCAGCAATTGAACGATCGGGAAGTCGTTGGACACCTCCGCACGCATATCCCGCATATTGTATCCGTCATATTGGTAAAAATTGTATTGAGAAGTTTCATAACGGCCGAATTCGTAGGGAGATAGTCAATATGGGTAAGTTTTATTTTAAGTATTTGTACCAATTTATGTGTTTGTTTATAAGTTTAGTTTAACACAATATCTATTTTGAAATAGGATATGAACTACGACAAACAAATTTTGACAAGAGATTAGAGGATTTGAAGGCCATTGATGAGCGCGTTTGGAACTGGGTATCGAAAATCGAGCGGGAGAAGTGGTCACAAGCATATGATGGTGGTCGGAGATACGAACACATGACTACAAACCTTGTTGAGGCCATTAATTCAGTACTAAAAGGTACACGCCATTCCCAATAGCGAGTGTGGTGAAAGATACATACTTTAGGTTGGCTAAAGTTTGGTCTGATAAAGGCAAAGAGATCGAGTGTCTGATAAATCGCGGTAAAATCTGGGCTCCGACGGTGGTAGAAGCAATGGAAGAAAATGAGCGTACGACAACCTCAATGTATGTTCATGACTTTGATCGAATTGGACATACTTTTGTTGTCATTGTATGCATACGTCGCAACGAAGTAGCAGATAGAGAATCATTTACTGTTAATTTACGACAAAGATGGTGTGATTGTGGCCGCTTTTAGGCGAGGAGATATCCGTGTGCTCATGCAGTCGCTGCATGTATGCATACTGGAATCAATTCATACACTTATGTTGATGAGTATTTTCACCTACAGAGGATATTAAATATATACAACCATGGGTTCAGACCGATCCCAAATGAATCTTATTGGGATAATCGAGATAATGATGAATGGTTGCCAAATCCACTACTTCGTAGAAGTCTGAAGGGTCGACCAAAATCTACTCGTATTCATACCAGCATGGATATCCATATTAGAGAGAAATAGCAACCGAAGAGATGTGGATTATGTAGAGTTGAAGGTCATTCAAAAATAAATTGTCCAAACCTTCCACAGTACAGACCTCAGCAGTAATCTTATTATTTTATAAATTTGTATATTATATTCGATTCAATTACTCGAGTATATATTTAATAATTATTATTTAAATTTAATCATTTAAATTTAATGATTTAATAATAATTATTTAACTTTAATGATTTAAATTAAATACTTTAATAATAATTATTTAACTTTAATGATTTAAATTAAATACTTTAATAATAATTACTTAACTTTAATGATTTAACTTTAATGATTTAATAATATTTACTTCACTTTAATAATTTAACTTTAATGATTTATTAATAATTATTTAACTTTAATGATTTAATAATAAATAATTCACTTTAATAATTAAACTTTAATGATTTATTAATAATTATTTAACTTTAATGATTAAAGTTTAATAATTTAATAATAGTAATGATATTCGATTCAATTACTTAAATTTGATACAAATAATTTAAATAAGGATTACAACTCTTGAAGGTGTCGGGGTGTTGTTGAGTAATAATGTCGAAGCGCACGTCGGTTTCGTTGTGGTCGTTGCACTTGTTCAGGAGTTTGTTCATCATAACCAACATGTTCATTCATAGAGGGCATAGGTTCCAGTGTTGTAAATATATGCCCACCAACACTATGCTCTTCCATCTGAGGAGTATAGGACGTAACACCAGAATCACCAACCACTTGACTAAATGATATTGTGTGATCAAAAGATTCTTGTGGGATATTATCCATTGCCTCTTGTTCTGCTACACGGTGAGAAGAACTCCCACTACCACTCCCACTCCCACTCCAATGCCTTCTTGGTTTCTCGGGTTTACCAAATTTTTTTGTATACTCTATAAATTGTCGTCTTTCTATGATCGTTGTCAAGAATAACTTTCCATGTTCCCAAAAATAATTAAGGTAATCCGAACTATTGAAGTCAAAGTCATCCGCTTGTATGGGAGTGAGCGTTGGCAAGTATGAACCCCTTTTGTTCGAATGATTGATATGGTTGGCATACCTCACCGACCAATCCTCACCGACCCTACCCCGCCTATCTAATCGATGGAGAGCATCATGATTCTCTGGAATGACTGGAATAGGTTGGTGGAAGCCGAATTGCCTCAATACTCTATCAGCAAATTGGAACTCCACAAACATGAAATGGATCAATGGTGTAACAGCACACCAATATTGACAACCCTCCCAGACATGTTGCGGTACGCATGACATAATTTCTTGATCATTGTACGACCTCCAAATAAACTATAAAATAAAATTATATAGTTATTATTTAATTAAATAATTATAAAAATCAACAAAATAAATAAATAAAAATATTATAATATAAACATAATAAAAAATAAATTCACTTATTAATTTTATATATACCTCAACTTTGCATTTGATGTCAACTTAAACCTAAACTCTTTCATGTTGTTGTGCACCAACCCCGTTCTTTCTATTTTATA